TGGCAAATAGTAAAAAGTAATCCTATTTTACATAGGATTTTAAATATTTAATCATTTGAATATATGTGATATAATTTAATTGAAAATCAAAAATATAAAACCAAATAGAAAGAGTACAATAGATAAATATTTGATAGACTTCTCTATAAATAATTTAAATTTGAATATTTTTCGTCTTTGATTTTTTTTTTTGCAATGTATGAAATATTAAAGAGAAACAATTGTTCAAATATAAATATAAAAATAATTCATTAATATTTTCAAAAATAGATATTTAAATAGTAAAATAATATTAAAAGTAAGAATGTTTATCAAATTTAAATAGGAATAAAAAAAACTTTTTAAAATATGTGATAAAATTTAAATGTAAACCAAATAACGAAAACATAAAAATTAATAAAATAAATGATATTCTTTCGATCAATAGTTTTGCATTAACATTTTTACTTTGATGTTAACGGATGATCTAATTTTGTTCATCACAATCAAATATAGAATTATAAGAAGTTAAATCACAAACCTGCATATATGCGGATCCTTCATCTAGTTATTAAATAAGATATAAATAAGGAAATAGATAATATTTGTTTGCCACATAAATATTTAAAATATTAAACACCGTTTCACCAGTTATGTTGTTTCATAAACAACCGTTTTATCCTAGGACGTTGGTTATCTTAAATTTTGTTGAATACTCGATCCTTGAAGAACATCGATTAGTGATTCTTAAATCCTTAAACCAAAAATTCGATTGGGGATGAAAATTTGACCGTTATTGTTTCCAAACACTTTAATTTACTTTTTTTTGTTCAGTTGTTCACCGTTGAAAAGAACATCATCATCATCTCGTCGGAAACCGCGTTTGCTCTAGAGACGATTCCTTCCCCATGCTCTTTTTCACCAACTCCAGATTAAGCCAATTGCGTTCGTCGCAACTAAATCAACAATATCAATGTTTGATTCGATCTAGTAAATTTTTTTCTTACACCAATCTACTCTTTAATCATTATTATCTTGATATTGACTTATGTATGTTTCTCACTTACCTTCCTATATATCATGAGTCATGTTTTTGTTTGTCATATTGTGTTATGCTACTGTTTTATTTTTCCTATTTAACCACAATACTTGTATTTTAAAATAGTAGGTTAAATTTTCAAGGAGAATAAAATGGCTCATACAATTTTCACATTCAATATCAGATTTCAGCAACCATTAGAGAAGAATTTGGCGGGTTGACTGTCATATGGATGAAATTTTTCCGTAACTTCACGACACCACCATCGGCAGTAACGTTTTTTTTCAATCTTACCAATTTTTTATACGAAGATAATCAGAAGAGAAAAAATATTTTTATGAGTTCTTTCGAAGAAAAGGAGTTGAAGTTGATGATGCAAACACCATATTGATGAACCTCATTATGCTTGCTGATACTGAAACATCATCTCCTTCTTATCAATTATGAATAATGTTACTTTTAATTTGTCACTTCACATAAGTGAATTAACAACTAATGTAATGGAAGAACAAGCAATTCAAGAATCTTTTGATGCGGCCATTATTGTTGAAATACCAGCTTCCCAAGAGTCAATCAATTCATTAGAAAAGAAGATATTTGAAGTTGAAGAAAATATTCATGACAAGGAAGAAAGTATTTGTATGATATGTTTAGAACTTTTAGAAAACATCAATGTCTACTATGTATTCATTGCGGTCATAGGTTTTGTGAAGGGTGTCTACGGAGTTGGTTACAACTAAATGGTGCA